AGAGAGGGAAAGTGAGAAGCAAGCCACCAGGTCCAGGACTTGAACAGTGGTTGGCCACATGGGAGTGTCCAGCGCCTTAACTACTATGCCACCTACTGGTCTCCAACCTCTCATAAAGCTTATGTAATTTTCTTTCTTCTTCACTTTTGATTTCTTGGACCACATTTTAGATTTTGTATCTTTAAGAAGTTTTTACCTTAGGGCACATGCTTTTGCTGGGGAGTGAGAGACAAAGACAATGAGAGGTAAAGTGAGATATCACTCCCCAGGCGGAACAGCGACACTGCAATCCCTTCTCTATTCTCCTTCCAGGATCTTAGACACACACGTCCATGTGTCCAGGGTGATATTCAAACCACCAGCTCTGGGACTCAGTCAAACCATGGTCAGCCTTGTGGGAGTCCAGAGACATAACTGCTACACCATCTGCTGGCACAGGACCACATGTCTTTAATATCAGTGTTTTAATCATTACAGAATATTTTATTACAAGTCTGACTGTAAACCAAAAGCACTCAAGAAAATTCTTAAACCAGGACATAATTTTCTAATCCAGTATACTTTTTTTAGAGAGAGTTTTCTGTTTTGTTTTGTTTTGTTTTTTGCTATATGACATGTGCACTCAGTGAAGAAACAGAGAGAGACACAAAGAGACAGAAACTAAGAAATCACCCTCCAATGGGGATAGCCACGCCATGATCCCTTCTCCTCCATTGTCCTCTTTGGATTTTTGGGAACTCATACAAATGTGTCTAGCAAGAGTTTTTTATTTTTGTTTTTAATTTTTATTGCTATAGGACATGTGTGCTTGCCAGAGAGACACAGAGAGACAGAAAACGAGAAATCACCCCCCAGGGGAGATGGCCACACCACAATCCCTTCTCCTCCATTCTCCTCTTGGGATCTTGGGCACATACGCATGCCTGCCCGGCATGAGTTTAAGCCACCAGGTCCAGGACTTAAACTATGGTTGACTACATGGGAGTCCAGCCACATAGCCATTACGCAAACTGCTGGTCCTCAGCAGGAGTTTTTTAAGCCACTGGCTATGGGACTCAAACTGTAGTTGATTACGGTCGACTACATGGGTGCTGCTGGTCCCTCCAGTCTACTTTTAAAGATAACTAAGAAAGGGGCTGGCAGGTAGTATGGTTTTTAAGGCACTGGATTCCCACATGGCTGACTGAGGTTCAAGTCCCAGACCTGGTGGCTTGCTTTTCCACTTTCCCATTCTCTCTTGCTGTCTCTCACTGGACAAATTAAAAAATAATAATAAATAAAATTAAATAACTATTTTTTAAACATAATTTTAAAAAGATTACTAAGAAAAGTTTGAATTTACACTATAAGAAAAGAAATAACAAGAGATGATCTGGAATTTCTTTAGGACAGAGGTAATTTTAAGAAAAACAGAGGATCAGACACAGATGCAATTACACTGGGAGAGATGGCAGAGTTATCTATTGAGCTATTTCTGCTACACATAAGCATGTGTCCTTGTGTTAAATAGCTACTAGTAGCATTTTGTGAATCTCCATTGTCTATAAACCAAGAGAATATATAAATTTCCATATTTCTATTCTAATAAATTAATGATACTATATCAAAGTATGGACATAAAGATCTGAGAGTTGAGTATGAATAATGAAAACAAAAATAAATATTAGAGATGGCTACTGAACTTGAGCTGTGAAATATTGTTTTCAGGGACTAAAACTGAAGACCTTCTGCTGAGCCTTCACTCTCCAGATTCATTTCTAGCAGGGTAGGGCAACCTCTATACCCTCTCTAACTCTCTGTCTCTTTTAATTTTTTTTTCAATTTCTTTTAAGGTAAAGTATTCTCTGGGCTCGCAACCCCCCCTTTATCTTGCAAGTTTACGCCCCCCCCCCCATTTAGGTGAAGCACAAACCTAGGCCCATTCTAAAATGGCTACTGAACTTAATCTGTGAAATACTGCTTTCGTGCCACATGATTTTCATTCTTTACTTTTTAAAATTAAAATATAAAATTTGTATCATCTTTTTTTTCTTTCTTTTTTTTATTTTTCATTGTCTTCTTTCTTTCTTTTTTTTCTCTCTCTCTATTTTTTTTTCCTCTTTCTTTAACTTCATTTCTTGGCTATTCAGCCTTCATGCACTGAGTCTCTAGACATGTCTAAGTGAACAGTATCCAAACATCTGAATACTATTAGGGTCAGACTATTCCTCAATTCCCACAGAATCTGACTCACAAAGAGTTAAAAACAAAATGGAAAAAAGAGTGCAGATTATCTCCTCCTGCATGTCTCTGAATGCTTAGATTGAAGTTCGAGAATTAGGAAGAAATGCACAACCCATCAGATGACCAGAAATCACTGCAGGGGCACAAGAAATAGGAGAAAGAAAGAAAATACCTCTCCTCCAAGGGAAAAGAATAACTCCTCTTCATCTACAGACAGTACAATGGAACTCATGGAAATGTCAGATAAAGAATTTAGAATATTCATAATGAGAAAGCTAACAGAGATAGAAGAGAATAGAGACAATGAACTCCAGAAGATGCAGGAAAAAAGAGCTAATGATTTCCAAAAGGTGAGGAAGTTCTTGCATGATCTGAAAGAGTAAACACACACCATAAAAAAAAGAATCAAATGGAGGTGTTAGAGATGAAAGCTGTAACACAGGAAATCAAAACATCCCTTGAAAGTATTAAAGGCAGACTAGATCGGGACCAGCAGTTAGCATAATGGCTATGTCGCTGAATTCCCATGTAGTCGACAGGGTTTGACTCCAGACCCAGTGGCTTAAACTCATGCTGGGCACATGTGCATGCGTGCCCAAGATCCCCACGAGAATGGAGGAGAAGGGCTTGCAGCATGGCCATCCTCCCAGGGGGTGATTTCTCACTTTCTGTCTCTCTGTCTTTCTGGCAAGTGCATGCACCCTGAAGCAAAAACTTTTCAAAAAAATAATAATAATAATAAAAAGGCAGACTAGATCCTACAGAAGATTGAATCTCTGGTGTAGAAGATAGAAGATAGAATCTCTGGCTTAGAAAAATCCACCACGAAGATTGAGAAAATAGGTCAAAATAATGAGAAATATATATAGAGAAATATTAGATACTATTAAACATCCAAACATCCGATTAATTGGTATCTCAGGAAGTAAACAGACTAGTAAGGGCATTGATAATCTATTTCATGAAATCCTGGAAGAAAACGTCCCAAACCTAGAGAGGCATTCAAAAAATCCAGTCCCAAGAAATACAAATGACTCCAAAGAGAATCAACCCAAGATTTTTTCCAAGACACATTATAGCCAGATTGACCAAAACCACAGACAAGACATGATACTAAGATTGTCAAGAGAGAAATTTCAAGTTACCTACAAAGGACATCCCATCAGGCTAACAGTAAACCTCTCATAGGAAACAATATGAGCAAGGAAAGAAAAGGAAAATATATTCAAAGTGTTAAGAGAAAAACAATTTTAACCAAGAGTACTGTACCTGGCAAGATTATCCTTCATAAGGGAAGAAAAGACAAGAACATTCTCAGATAAACAAAACCTGAAAGAATTTACCAACACCAGACCAGCTCTCCAAAAAGTTCTGAGGGGAGTCCTATACCAGGAAAACTAAAAAAGACACACAGAAATAGGGGTTCAAAAACAACTAAGAAAATGCCCAACTTAATGGTAGGGACAGGGGACCAGCAGTTAGCATAATGGCTATGTTGCTGGACTCCCACGTAGTCAACCGCAGTTCGCCTCCCGGACCCGGTGGCTTAAAACTCATGCCGGGCACGTGTGCGTGCGTGCCCAAGATCCCGAGAGGAGAATGGAGGAGAAGGGATTGCAGCGTGGTCATCGCCCCTGAGGGGTGATTTCTCACTTTCTGATTCTCTGTCTCTCTCCATCTGTCTGGCGAGCGCACATGCCCTTTAGCAAAAACCTCTCCAAAAAAAGAAAAAAATGGTAGGGACAAGTCTGGAGTTGAATGTTATATTCTAGAATTTAAACGGGAAGATCAGACCGAACAGAAGATAAAGTACACAAGACTGAACTGGTGAAAAAAATCTTATGATTTTTTACTAAAACATTACTGATTTAGGGACCAGCAGTTAGCGTAATGGCTATGTCACTGGACTCCCACATAGTCGACCACAGTTTGCGTCCTGGACCCGGTGGCTTAAAACTCACGCCAGATGCATGTGTGTGCATGTGCGTGCATGCCCAAGACCTCAAGAGGAGAATGGAGGAGAAGAGATTGCGGCGTGGCCATCCCCCCTGGGGGGTGATTTCTCACTTTCTGTCTCTGTCTCTCTCTGTCTGGTGAGCACACACACCCTATAGCAAAAACCTCTAAAAAAAAAAAAAAATTACTGATTTTTTTCTATGCTTTGTTTTCTAGATTTAAGAATTTTTGTCTTGTCTTGAGCTGCCAATAGGTTCATGTACCTACTATTTGAACAGAATCCTAACCTGTTTCCTGGCTTTAAGTTTTAAGTAAAGCACTCTTGGCATTTTAAACATTTTGATTTATTAAAAATAAAACTGCTTTTCTTGAAATTAAAAATATATTTTAAAATACCTATTTAATGATCAAAGTAAGCTATATAGCATCTGCTAGGTGCTACTTTATAGTATATTCAATCTACTCAGGGTTTCACACCTGAAGTTAGGCATGTGTTCACAGACATGTATATATCATTTAAATTTGCTTATGAAAGTAGTTAGACTAATTAAGATATTTTGTGAATCAATAAAATGTGAAGGGAATAAAAGGAAAGGAAAGCAACTGTAGACACCAGAGACAGTGTGAGAAATAGGGGGAAAATTGTGTGTGAGTGTGTTTTGTGTGTGTGTGTGAAACTAGAAATGGAAAATTACCAAGGGTAACATGTATGATTAAGCCACTGTACAGTGTATTCTGGATGGGAAATCACATTTTGTATGCTGTAATGCTCAGTGAATAAATGTAAAATAAATTAATTAATAAAAAAGTAAATATCATACCTTTACACTTTCTTCCATCTTTGTTTTACATTTGTTTTGTTCTCTAGCTTCACGCAGACTTTTCTGAGTAGGACCTTCTGGTGTATTTTCACTTTCACAATTGTAAGCAGCTACAAGATAATACAATTTATTCTTAACATTTATATACTTCATCTGTACAAAAAGATTACAACCAATGATATGAAAGACAGGTATTAACGATACATGTTTTTAAAAGCATTGAACTAACAAATATTCCAGCCATACCAAAATGCTGTAAGTAGAATCCCAAAATCAATTTCCCAAAATACAAGGTGTCATTACTGCAAGGTTAATGAAATGGCACAGAGGACCAGTGACACAAGACAGGAGCAAATCTCCAGTCATATTATATCTCAATTCCTGTTATCATGAGTTTTTACATGTTTATAAACAAAGTTAAAGAGGGCCAATGGAGAGAATGATAAGAAATTATAGAATTTCTCAAGTAGAATTAAATAATAAATAAAGATTTTTAAAAAGAGAATATTGGGCCAACTCATGGTGTGGTGGTTAAGGCAGTTGGGTACCAAATGGCTGACTACATGATTTGAGTCTGAGACTTGGTGGCTTGAGAAGAAAACCAGGTGCATATGTGGGCATGCCCAAAATCCCAAAAAGGAGGGAGAGATGAAAAATTACAGTGTGACTATGCCCTATATGGAGTACTTTCTCACTTTCTCTCTCTCTCTCTGCAGTGAGTACGCACATAATATACATTCATATATGTGTGTGTGTGTGTGTGTGTGTGTATAGGTACATATCAATATTTAGGTATATATACTATCCATATATATATATATATATATATATGGATATATGGATATGTGTGTATGTATGTGTGTGTGTGTGTGTGTGTGTATAAAAACTGCTGTTTATATTCCTTGTCGGTCATATTTCCACTTTGTATAAAAGCCTGTGGAAGAGCAAGCTTATGACTACTCAGTAGTTGTTCCCACCCATTCAGCGGCCTGAGCAGTGGGGGCTGCAGACCAGTCTTCGGTGGCAGGCTGAGCACTCCAGTCTTCAGTAGGGACCTGCTGGATGGGCACAGAGGGCACCTGCATGCCTTCAGACCAGTCTGTAACCTCAGGCTGAGTAGCAGTAAACTTAGGAACAGGAGCACTCCATTCAACCTGACATTCCTCCTTGGTCACAACCTTTTAAGCTGTGGCCTGTTCCTCCTTTTCAATCTCTTCAGGATCTCTGTAGAAGTAGAGATCAGGCATGACCTCCCATGGGTGTTCACAGGTGATGGTGTCATGCATCCACAGAACTTCCCTGACCAACATCCACTACAGCAGACCCACTGAGAAAGCTCCTCTGTTGTTGCATGGGATGGCAATGTCCACACAGCACAGAGGAGAATCTGTCTTGCACAGAGCAATGGTAGGTGGATTAACATAAGACTCCTTTGTGAGAGGCTGGTGGTGTGGCTCCCAACAGATGTGGGCTTCCCTCCCAGAAGATGTGGCTCCTGGAACACTGCCTGGATCTGGCTAGTGAAGGTTCCAGGAGTGAAGCGCCCAGCAATAGGGGTGACTCCAGTGGCAGCAGCAAACTTCAGCACAGCCTTCTGTCCAGTGTCCCTAGAAGATATGACACTGACGTTGGCAGAATTTTCAATGGCAAGAATGGCATGAGCTGCCAGTAGAAGCTTCTCCCAGGTCCTCTTCAGATTTATGATGTAGGTGCCATCACTTTTCCTTTGGTAGATGTACTGTTCCATTTGGAAATCAAGGTTGGTACTGCCTAAGGGGGTTCCTGCTACATGGTATTTGAGAACATCCTCCTTCATTAGCAGGACATCAAGGGTGCCGGACATTGTGAAAGTTTCTCTTTAGGTTACAATGGGAATCCAGAACAATGCCGTATGGATCCTTGTGCAGGCAGCAAAGGCTCTACTTACATTTCTAAACAGCAACTTGATTTCAAATATCTAGTAAGGTTATAATCAATAATACATAAAAAAAAACTCAAAGTTATAAATTATAACATTAGATATACAGTGGAGAAAAGATGATGAACACAAAAATGTCTAGATGATTTAATGTCAAGACTCTTTTAAAGAATCCTGACATGAACTCAAGGAAGGAGATGGCTGCCTTTGTTTCTTTCCTGATCTAATTTTTCCTCTTAAGTACTATTTCTAGACAAAAGGATAATCCTCGAAAATTCCCTCACAATAACATAAAGCAGAATATTCCATAACTACATGCAAGTACTTAAGAAAAGGGTATTCAACCACCTGTGTTCTTTCAACAGTGCTGTAAATTAGAATCCCACAGGAACTAGGAAGCCAGTGTGAGGAGAAAGGCCGCTATTTCAGCTTATTTAGATTAAGGAAAATTTTCACTTTTAATTCTCTTTTATTGTATTTTCCCCTTTAAAGACCAGTAATGTCAACTGAATTATAATTAAAAATAATTAGCATTAAGACTTCACTATTTTATTATTCAGCAGCCGCTGCTATAAACAATTTACATGCAATATTTCATATAATTTTGTCAACAACCTTGTGAAGGTCACTACCTTCCCTATCTTTCGTTTTCTTTTATGGATGAGAAGGGGAGGTTATTACTAATAGTCACTGGGAAGAAAGAGAAGGTAGTAGAGAAAGAAACCCAGAACTCCAGAAGATAATTCCAGGAATATGAGCAGATCTCATGCAGCAAGACATTACTAAGCACAATTTTGTAAAACATGTAAACTGAAGAAGCAAGAAACAAACAAATAAGCAAATATGGTAAGGATAATAAAAACAAATGAAAATGGAAAATCCAAGAGGACTTGATTATATGGTGTTCTCCAAACAAAATGAAATTGCAAAAATACATACTTTGATATAAAAATTTAGGAGAATATTCAACATTTGAAACCAAAACTTGAAAGCGAACATTGGAAAATGCCTGTGGAATTGGCAGAAAAATGCTTACCAATTATTTCACAACATATCAAGAATAAACAGGATTTTCATCATAAGGTCTTGATGCTGGGATTCCTCACCAGCTTCAGCCAGTGCCTATTGTGAGCATATGCATACCAGGGATATTTGGGGAGGTTTCCAGAGTTGAACTGAGAACATTCCTGCCTGGGTGAGTCTTGCCAAGAATTGCATTTACCACTGCACCACTATCTAGCACTTCTTATGTCTAGCAATATCCTAGCTAAGCCCATGTCTCCATCATAGCATTCTGTTTACCACCTAATGCTTACTAATAACAAGGTCTATAGTACTGGTGTTATGTAGTTGCCCAAATTTTACTAGGGCACAATACCCATTTTGTCTTCAAAGAGAAAAAGAAAATGTCAAAAAACAAACACATATTCATTTATAGGACTTTTATTCATTGTACCTTCCAGGGCTAAATTTTATTAAATCATTCCTTCACGTATGCACACATTCAACCTGTGTAAACTGGTCAGTGTTATCCAGGGCTCAGGCCCCTGGTTAAAAATCAGAAATACATGAATACCTTCATTTAGCAAATTTTATTAAGGACCTACCTTGAGCCAATCCCTACGTCCCTTTACAAATCAAACAAAACTGAAAAGAGAATTAGTTAACTAAAAAAAGGCTTTTAAAGAAATTATCCATAATTTAGTCCAGAAGGATGGATTAAAAATTTCTAAGAGATTAGGACACATGTAATCTAAAATGAGGATATTAAACAGACCTAATTGGAATTCAGAAAAAGGTAATAGTGTCAAAGGGGAAGATACTATTTTTGAGATGATAGCATCACTTTATAAATTCAACCACATAGTCTATCTGTGAAATTAGCATTTCATAATGTAATTCTGAGCAAAAACATAATACTTCATAATATGAAACAGCACACATTTGCATAAATGCATAAATGCCCAATATACAGACACAATGTGTGGGGAGCCGCCCACATCAAAATGGCTGCCATGACCTTCACTGCTTAAAATGGCCGGTGCGACCTTGACACAGACACCAGGAACGACCTTGACACAGACACCAGGAACGCAGACCTCCTCGTTCAGACAAAACAGACAGGTCTTCAATTAGGTCCGCTGTAAACCTCGCCTACCTCCCTCTGCCTTGTGTATATAAGAAAGTGTTCTAGCCCTCAATAAGCGAGCGAAACTTTCATACCATCAAGAGCTGTGACACTGTGTGAGCTGTGATACTTCTTTCGCTCCCGTGCTGAGACGCTGCGCTGGTTCCAGACCTCCGCCCCCTCGCTCGAGTTTCCCTGCCCAATAAGTTCCCGCAGGCTGGGACAACAATGGAGAAATTAAGGAAAAAGGATTGTTGTGTGGCCATGCCCCATTGGGGAGAGGTGCTTTCTATCAAAATAATTGATCTACTATATTTGGAGTACAGAAAGAAATACTCTATTCTAGTATTAATTTAGCAATATTTAATTTAGCTTTATTATATGTGGCATTCCCTCTGTAAAGCTTTTAAATCAACTTTCACAGTTTTTCACTCCTCCAAATTTTATTCTGAATTCAGAAGTTCCTATGATAAATCATAAGATACTAAAATATAATTATATGTATTGTTATGATCTTATTTAGAAATAAACATTACTGAGACAGCTCCATGGCTCCTGCGATCTAGCCATTTTGGGAGAAAGGAAAATGTCCCACTGATAACTGGGCCTCCAGCATACAAAACTCACGTGGTAGGAAGACCCCTTTCAAGTCTCCTGTCTCTATATCAGTCTTTGTCTCTCTCTGCTTCCTTTTCTGCACACTCCTCGACCCTCAGATTGAACTTCCAAGTTTGGGAAGAAACCAACCATCCACCAGATGACTAGAAATCGCTGCAGGACCACAAGAAATATGGGGAAGCAGGAAAATACCTCTCCCACAAGGGAAACGGATAGCTCCTCTTCATCCACACACAGTTCAACGGAAATCATGGAAATGTCTGATAAAGAATTCAGAACATTCATAATGGCAAAGCTAACAGAGATGGAAGAGAAGAGAGACAAGGAACTGCTGAAGAGGAAGGAGAAAGGAGTTGACGAGTTCCAGGAGGTGAGGAAATTCATGCAAGATCTAAAAGAGGAATTTCACACTTTACAAAAGAATCAGATGGAACTGTTAGAGATAC